GTTAAAGAGAGTGCAATGGCATTCTACAATGGTATGAATAATCCTAAAACCACACCTCGAAAATCCACAGGGGATTACATCAAGAGGCGTAAACTGAAGGTTTTGCCATGGCCTTCACAATTCTCCTGACCTCAACATCAATTGAAAATCTATGGATAGACCTTAAAAGAGCAGTGCGTGACAGACAGCCCAGAAATCTCAAAGAAACTGGAAGACTTTTGTAAGGAAGAATGGGCAAAGATACCTCAAACAAGAATTGAAAGACTCTTGGCTGGCTACAAAAAGCGTTTGGCAAGTATCATAGCTTGTAAAGGGGGCAGTACAAGATATTAACTCTGCAAGGGTGCCCAAACTTTTGCAGATGCCATTTTTTTGTTTTCTGTTATTTTGAAAGTGTAAATGATGGAAATAAAATCTAACTTTTGTTGACGATATATTATAAGAATGTCTAATCTGTAATTTGAAGCCGTTTTTGGAGATTTTTTCCATATTTCCTTGCTTCCTTTATGCACATTAATTTCAAATTTTTAGCTGGGGTGCCCAAACTTTCGATCCCCACTGTAACATCTTATTGGGATTTTTAACCAAAAACATGTAGCAGAATACATTTTTGGCCTAAATTTGACAAAAATTTTCAGTTTTTTAAAATATTTTTTTTATGACCAAAAAAAATTGAGAGTTTAAAAAAAAAAATTGTTATCAAAACTTTTTGTTTATAGCGCCAAAAAAATAAAAAGCGCACGTGTTTGGATCATAATAGTCCACCAAAAAGAAAACTCTATTTGGTGTGTATTTGGAAGGTCATAAATTTCATTTATTTATTGTATTGCAATGAACCAACGATAATTGTCCTGTGATCTTTATGCTGTGCTGTCTAGCAAAAAATATGAAGTAAATTGTAGTACTATGGCATGTTTCTTGTAGATGCTGAGGGGGTGTGGAGTTCACATTTGGGTATATGTCAATCTACACTTGATTGGGATTATAGGTGGGGTGGGGGTGTACCATTTTCTAGGGTAGCATGAATACATGTTATGGGGGGACGTTAAAAATGTAGTTAACTAACTTTGAGTTTACTATATTTTTTATTTTTTTATAGCTGAAAATAGAAAATATAATTTTTTCCTTTAATTTTTTGGTCTTTTTTTTTGTGTTTATGTACGTGAAAAATAAAATGCGGACAAACAGGTGACAACTGGTTCCTACCTTTTCCAGAGGACTGTGCGGCTTCATGTTACTGGCGTCCATCTTGGGTTTCTGCAGAGCATGGTGGGAAAGTCTTTTAATAGCCTTTTAGGGTCTCCTGAGGTCCATCCCCCGAGCGGGTGTGGCTGTGTACATATAAGCCTGTGAATCCGCACTTGCTCTTTGGCACCTTGTGGCTTTGTATCTTGGTGTTGTTAACAGCTCTGTGTATTCACTCTCGGTGACTCTTCTGGTATCTGACTCGGCCTTGTTGATCTAAGGTCCCCTTCTCTGTGTTTTTCCTTTGATCCTGTACCTTCCATTGCTGAACCCGGCCCGTGACCTGTCGATTGCTTGTCTAACTGTTCTGTAACCATTTTGTCCCGTTGATGTCCAACCCGGCCTGCATGACTACGCTATTGTCATGTCCTACCTGCTAAACGCCTTTGGCGGGGGCTTTACCACAACCGGGGTGTTTCGGGTGGGTAGGCGACCTGGGTTCCTGGCCCCACCATAGGGGCCCCTGGTGAGGGCAGCCTGGGATTAGACTCCGCGCCTGAGGGGACTGCGGTCTGTTGGTGGTGGTTGTCGACAGTCAGTGCGTTACCCTGCACTAGACCTACTGTCCATTTCACAGCCTTGCCCTGACAACAGGTGATCAAATACCACGAAAGAAAAGCTCTATTTGTTGGGGAAAAAAGGACGTAATTTTGTTTGGGTACAGCATTGCATGATGCGCAATTACATTAATTAGGCAGCGCCGAGTGCAAAAGAGGCCCGGCTTAAGGGGGGTAAAACCCCAAGGGGAATGTTTAATTAGTAGAAAGATTGGTACAGTTTACATGTTATCGGGTAAAATTTAAATTTAAAATTTTGAATGTCAGTTTTGCATGCCTTACTTAGAAAAGGGTGTGAATGGTTTGAAACTGTATACAGGTGAAATCAAAAAATTAGAATACATCAAAAGTTTATTTATTTCATAAAGCAAAATTAAAAGGTGGAAAAAAAATATGAGACAGCTCATTACTTTCAAAAAAGATGTTCAAGCCGGATTTTAAAATTGTGGTGATTATGGTTACAGCTCTGAAAACCCCCAAACCACAACTCAGAAAAAATTTAAATATTGTGAAATGTGCAAAATTTAGGCTAAAGTGTCCCACTCTAATCAGTAATTAAGCCATAAACCCTGCAAAGGGTTCCTGAGCCTTTTAAATGGTTCTCTCAGTTGGTTTCAGTAAGAATCACATCCTGGGAAAAGGATGCACAGACCTGACAGTTGTGCAGAAATCCATCATTGCACCCTCCATTAGGAGGGAAAGCCGCAAAAGAAGTAATTGCAAAGAAGTAGGCATGTTCCCAAAGTCTGAATCAAAAAGCACATTAATGAAAGTTATCTGGAAGGGAAAAGTGTGGAAGAAAAAGGTGCACAAGCAGCAGGGAAAGACGCAGCCTGGAGGGATGCCAGGAAAAGGCATTCAAAAGTGTTGGACTTTCACAAGGAGTGGACTGAGGCTGGAGTCAGTGCATCAAGAGCCACCACACACAGACGGATCCTGGGACATGGGCTTCCAAATGTGTATTCCTCTTGTCAAGACACCCTGAACAACAATGTCAGAAGCGTCTTACCTGGGCTAAAGAAAATACAGAACCTGGTCTGGTTGCCTCTGTGGTCCAAAGTCGCTCTATTTTCTGTGGAGTGCTAATCATTTTGGCATTTCATTTGGAAACAAGGACCCTGGAGTATGGAGGAAGATTGTGTGAGGAACACACTGCACAAGATGCTTTGAAGGTCCAGTGTGAAGCTTCCACAGTCCTGTGGTGATTTGGGGGAGTCCTTGGTCATCTGCTGGTGTTGGTCTCCACTGTGCTTCATTTAAGTCCAGGGTCAACGGCAGACCCCCGGTGCTTCCAGTAGGAGATTTTGGAGCAGCAACTTTCATGCTTACCGTTCCGCAGAAGAGATCTTTTGGGATGCTGACTTCCATTTGTACCAGCAGGAGAATGGCACCTGCCCTCACTGCCATTAAAGAGCACCAATACCTGGTTCTAATGACCGTGGGGATTACTGTGCTTGATTGGCCAACAAGCTCAACCTGACCTGAACCCCCTATAGAGAATCTATGGGGCCATTGCCAAGAGAAAGATGAGTGACATGAGACTGATACAATGCAGAAGAGCTGAAGGCTGCTATTGAAGCATTCCTGGGTCTTCACATAACACACCTCAGCAGTGCCACAGGCTGGATAGCTGATTATAGCCCCACCCATCCACTGCACGCATAATTGAGGCAGTAATTGCTGCAAAAGGGGCCCCCAAACCAAGTACTGAGAACATATGCAAGCTATTTACTTTTCAGAGGTCTGATATTATTCTATGTACAATCCTTTGTTTTATTGATTGCATGTAATATTCTAATTTTTATGAGATTGTGGATTTGGGTTTTCATGAGCTGTAAGCCATAATCATCACAATTATGACAAATCACAGCGTCGAACTATCATGCTTTGCATGTAATGAGTCTATCTCATATATTCCCGTTTCACCTTTTTAAGTGTGCATTATGAAATAAATGAACTTTTGCACGATTAGTTCTAATTTTTCGAGTTTCACCTGTATGTGCATATGCAGGTTTTTGTGGACTTTGCATGAAGTAAAAAAAATCACTTGACGGTGCCTGCAGAACTACTATCATAGACAAATATACCATTTTGCTTATGTTTATAGAGTGCAACTATAACATTACAGTAACTAAAGAATGATTTGGTAAAGGGCATTAACACATTTCAACGTACCCATACGGTATGTGTCTCGAAACCCCTATTCTTGGTGGCTATTATTATTTCATAGAAAAAGAATCATAAAGATCTACTCTAGTTATTTGAAATACCCATCATGCAATGTGCTTTTTCCTTTTGTATTTTGCATGAAATATTACCCCTTGCTTTTACTTGGAAAAGGTATATATGCAGTATAGACTGTAATTGTTAACAGTGGGCCATTTTCCTGTAGTTCTGTACTTTGCTAATTAATTACATGTTTGTACAGCAATGAAATTGCACAGTAGCGATTATTCTTATTCCTGTGATAATATTTTGTTGATGAGGATCATAGCAGCCATTTTCCTGTAGTAACTGATGCTGGCCGTGCTCTACATTATATAAACAACTTTCATGGATGGGCAGGTTTGAAAAAGGGGTCCACGCCCTGAAATGCATAACCGTGGCCATTTGATCACATATGAAGTTCATCATGGCCATCTTGTGGGCCTGTAACACTTCCCTGCGGTCCACATTGGCTCTCATCCATGTGATATACACACAGGCTGCTGCGGGCTGCTTCCTGGTGAACTTCCTGGTTTCAAGCACAAACATCACATCCACCTGGAGGGGGCTTGCTCAACCATTGGACCTCCTGGAAGGTCACCATCTGCTGGAGACTTATTGATACATCCTTTTAATAGCCCCCTTTCAAATGTAAGTGCATATTTATTGCTTTTCATTTCATAAATATAGTCTAATAAATGCTATACACTTTGTGGCGTTTTTCTTCTCCTCCCTTTTTTTCATTTATGCAACCATATAAATGAATAACATAGATGGTACTTATCAAATGCAGGATAATTTGTTTTTCTTTATATCTCTAGACCACTAATTATCAATGGTGCATGATTGAGCATTTCTTAAATGGTTATGAGATAAAACATTTCTTAATTATCAGGAAAAATAACAGATTTTTTTTTTTAAACCACCCCTGTCTGGCCGTTGTTGTCTATATAAACGGCCAGACGGTGGCAGTGCAGGGTGGGTGGCCCTGGTTTATAAACAGGCTCCCCGCCCCCTGCTTGTGCGTGCTCCTGGAGGAGTGCACAGCCTACCGCAGCATCCCAGTGCCCTCTGTGCGTAGGTCCCCGAATCATGTAATCACTGATTGGCCAATCAATGATCAAATGCAGAGTAGTAAGCAAGATGTCACTTCTGATATCATTGCTTACTACGTGTGAAAAATCTGTGAATGATCAGACGGTCACATGGTACAAGGCTATTCACAACAGCCTTGTACCTTGTGGCAAACCTGTGACCAAATCGCAGTTGTACATCAATGGCTGCAATAATGCAGCTAGAGAGAAGGAGAAATGATTGCTTTTACAGCCATTTTATGGGTGTAAAAGCAATCAGTGTTAAAAATAAAAAAATAATCACCCCCCCACATGTAGTACAGTGTCACCATTGTGACACTGTACTGCTAGGGGTGACAGTATGTAAAAAAAAAAAAGCCCCAAAAAAAACAATATAAAATAAAAATGTTAAAAAAAAGTTTTCAAATAGTTTATTAATTTGTGGTTTTATAAACTAATTGAGGGTCATTTTAAAACTAAAAAGATAGCGAAGGAATAAGAAGAATGAAAATTTGGCCAAGATTTATGATGAAATATTAGTTCCCCATTTTCAAAATTTTATAAGAAAAACACCTTTTTTCAAAATGTTTGGACTTTTTCAGTCTTACATAGCAAAGTTAAATTAAAAATCCAGTGGTGAATAAACACCACAAAAATAAAGGCTTTATCGGTCTCCAAACAAATTCATAATGGGTACAGTGTTGCATGACCGTTGCCTTGCAATTTGTCATTCAAAGTGTGACAGCACTGAAAGCTGAAAAATTGGCCTGGACAGGAAGGGGGTAAAATGCGCCGTGTCCGGACCTTTAAATTATTATTACTATGATACTGGATTTTATATATTGCGCCAACCGTTTTGACTCAGTGCTTTACAATTTTTAACGGGAGACAATAAACCAACAATACAGTTCAATACAAGAGGGATAGGGAGGGCTCTGCTCCTTGGAGGATTCTTACAATCTATAGTGTTAAATATTAGGATCAAACCTCTCACTCCTCCCTTTAATGTTGTTTTGATCAGTTAGGAGCTATGGTAGTCCTCACATAATGTGTATTGATTTAATTAAACAATGAAATACAGACCAAGGTAGGGAGTATTGTAGTCTTTTTTTCCCCCGTTTGTATTTTTGTATGTAGAGGGGAAAGGAAGAAGAAAGAATTAATGAATATATGCAAAGAACAAGGAATCTGAACTATGCTGTCAGCAGTTTTCTTTCTCACTTCTAAAAAATTGATTATATGAACCTGACTTTATCAATTGCACCAAGATATTGGTGGTGGTTGGATAGTTGGAAATAAAATTATTTAATATAGTTTCAGTTTTACTCAAATCTATGACAGGAAAGACACTGAAAGTTACCTCAGAAGGTTAGGCAGAATTCCAGCCATGTTGTCAATGCATTCGACTTTATTCAAAAAAGCATTGGGGTTCTTGCGTGCCAAAGGTGGCAGTTTCTACCTATAGGGTGGTGTAGTGATCACTGTTTAGCAATTCCTAAAAGCAATGCCAGAACATAGTGTTTTTTCCAGTGGTAAGTGGAACTATGCTCTGTTAGTCCACACATGAAGGTTTAGCATTCTTTATTCCTGCAGTAACTAGAGTGTGCAGATACAATGGGTTTTTAAAGTTCCTTTTTAAGTATAACTATGTTCTGCTCATTACAGAACAAGAACTACAAAAATTATAAATGGACTACAAGGTCTAAACAAATCAAAATAATTTTCATAAGAAAAGGAACAGAGATTAGAAAAACATCCAAACTTCCTTTTGACATGTATAAATTGAACATAAACATAGATCACAAAGCTATATTTAAACATCACTGACATTTTTCCCACGACTGGGAAGTTTACAATGCAGACCTCATAATTCTGTGAAATGGGAAAAAGCTTACATAATGGCATAATTGGGCCCTAAAATACAAATTCAAACTTTTTGCATTGCACCAAGTACAAAACCCATAACCTGTGAAAAGATATGTATAATTTATTGACCACATTTTACAAGTCCTTACCCTGATACAGCTCAGCCTTTGCATAAGGCTCAGTGAGATGATTTTCTGACCTCGCTTAGGAACATCAGAAAAAGCAGCAGAATGAATGCAAATGGCCAAGTTATGTCTAAATAATGACAGAGTCGGTCCTTCATATACATAGGTTTGTTATTTTAACCGCATTCAAATACAAATAATATCTTACAGTTAGTCTTTGTATATATTAAAAAAAACAGATCTTCAACCTTTATTGTGAAACTAATCATAGTTTTAAAAGTTACATCTGGAATATTATGTGTTTGCTTCTAAAGACTTAACAAAACAAGACTGAAAAATCTTCGTAGCATACCATCACAGTTCAGAGGCTAAGGCTATTTATGAACTATACTTTATGCAGAAGCAGAGTGCAGTCCTCGCTTTCCAGAAAAATGAGTGAAGTGGTTGGCTTCATCTTGAGTCTGGCTATTTTTCAGGTAGTGGATCTCACAATTTTTACAGTCTCGGTTGTATTGGTATGGTATGTTCTCATAAGGCTTCAGGTCCAAGTCCAGGATGGAAACTGAATACAGGAAACTTGTTCTTGAGGCCTTCTACCACAGGTCTTGACTCAAATCTAAAACAAGAATTACATTGTCAAGCACTTAGGATAGTAATTTGTGTTGACATAAAATCTGTAACACATCAATGGTAACTTTTCTTTTTCTTTATTATTCATTAACTTAAAAGAGCTATTATTAAATTCAATTCTAGGTTATATAGTAAGCATTTTTTGAATAAAAGATTTTGTTTCGGGGGGAGTCCAGTACAGGGGAAATCTTACAGTGTGGAAATCCTTGTGTGGGCGAGCACAGATGGAGCGGCTCCAACTGCACTCCAAGCCTCTAATGTGAAGCAGAGTTAGGGGTTTCCAACTTCCGGCGTTCTTTTTCGCAAGCACAGCCATTACACTGGCAGCGCCGCTGAGGGGACAGGTGCAGGAGAGGTCCGCTCTCCCCCACCGTGGGGGGACAGGTGCAGGAGAGACCCGCTCTCCCCCACTGCGGGGGACACGAGGAGAGGCCCGCTATCCACCGCCTTGGGGGACACGAGGACTGAGGCCCGCTATCCACCGCCTTGGGGGACACGAGAGAGACCCGCTCTCCACTGCCCCTTGGGGGACACGAAGCCCGCTCTCCACCGCCTTGGGGGACACGAGGCCCGCTCTCCACCGGCCTTGGGGGACACGAGGCCCGCTACTCCACGCCCTTGGGGGACACGAGGCCCGCTCTCCACCGCCTTGGGGGACACGAGGCCCGCTCTCCACCGCCTTCGGGGGGACACGAGGGCCCGCTCTACACCGCCTTGGGGGACACGAGGCCCGCTCTACACTGGCCTTGGGGACACGAGGAGAAGCCCGCTCTACACCGCCTTGTGGGGACACGAGGAGAAGCCCCCTCTACACCGCCTTGGGGGATACGAGGAGAGGCCCGCTCTACACCACCTTGGGGGAAACGACGAGGAGAGGCCCGCTCTACACCCACCTTGGGGGACACGAGGAGAGGCCCGCTCTAAACTGCCTTGAGGGACACGAGGAGCAGAGGCCCACTCTAAACCGCCTTGAGGGACACGAGGAGAGGCCCGCTCTACACCGCCTTGGGGAAAAGAGGAGAGGCCCCCGCTCTACACCGCCTTGGGGGGGAAACTAGGAGAGGGCCCGCTCTACACCGCCAATGGGGGACACGAGGAGGAGGGCCCGCTCTAAACCGCCTTGAGGGACACGAGGAGAGGCCCGCTCTAAACCATCTTGAGGGACATGAGGAGAGGACACGAGGAGACGCTCTACACCGGCGTGGGGGACATGTGAAGGAGAGACCCGCCAATGGTGCACATCACTACACCCGCCAGCTTAAGGTAAATGACATTTTTTGTGCTGCACTCTGGTGGCAAAATGATTTTGAAAAGAGTAAAAAAAAAAAAAAAAAAAAAAAAACAACGTTGGAAAAAAAAACAACCCACACCATTTTAGTGCTGCTCTCTGGAGCCTAAATATTTAAAAAAGTAAAAAGAAAAGAAAAAGAAGCACAGCACACCTATGCAAAATCAGCTACAAATTTAATTTAAAATAAAAATAAACTTGGGAGCTGACTATGCATAGGAACACATCCTCATATGGTAGTGGTGAACATTTTCAGTTCCCTCCCAGTTTTGACTGTGGTATCTTATATGCACCCTGTTTATTTTCCTAGGGTCGCCATTGGTCCCTTACAATTGTAATGTATGGACAGACCCCCCCCAAGCAAGCAGGTGTGCTCCACCCTGCTCCTGAAAGGCAGCCCAGCCAGCAGACACGCCGAGCCACCAGAGGACCCTTCAATCAGGCCAGCCTTTAATCTGAAGTGGCGTTGGGCTGAACAAGTGCCAAGTGAACTGCCGTTGAGGTGAACTGCCGTTGAGGTGAACTGCCTTGTTTAATCTTACCTGCCGTTGAGCTGAACTGCCTTGTTTAATCTGACCTGCCATTGAGCTGAACTGCTGTTGAGCTGAACTGCCGCTGAGCTGACCTGTTGTTGAGCTGAACTGCCTTGTTTAATCTGACCTGCCGTTGAGCTGACCTGCCTTGTGTAATCTGAATTGCCGTTGAGCTGAACTGCCTTGTGTAATCTGAATTGCTGTTGAGCCGAACTGCCTTGTTTAATCTGAACTGCCTTGTTTAATCTGAACTGCCTTGTGTAATCTAAACTGCCTGTAATCTGCCTTGTGTAATCTAAACTGCCTTGTGTAATCTAAACTGCCTTGTGTAATCTAAACTGCCTTGTGTAATCTAAACTGCCTTGTGTAATCTAAACTGCCTTGTGTAATCTAAACTGCCTTGTGTAATCTAAACTGCCTGGTAATCTAAAACTGTACTGCTAAACGTTGTAATCTGTACTGCCGTTGAGCTGAACTGCCTTGTTTAACCTGAACTGCCGTTGAGCTGAACTGCTTTGTTTAATCTAAACTGTCGTTCAGCTGAACTGCCGCTCAGATGACCTGCCGCTCAGATGACCTGCCGTTAATCTGCCTTCAAGCAGACCAGCCTTTTAAGCAGGTAATCAATCAGACCAGCCAGCAGACGAGACTTTAATCAGGCCATCAATCAGACCAGCCATCAATC